TAGCTAGGTAACCTTAGAGAATCATTCAATCTGAATTTTCCTGGCTGTAAGAAAGGTCCTAGTAAAATACTTTTCCTGCAGGGCTGTCTGAAGATAAAGGAGCTCGCATGCATTCTCCAAGGTGCTCAGTAATGTTTATCTGTTTTTCTCTTTTCCTCTCCTCCAGGAGTGACTCACTGTGAACAGAACACACTGATGTTTAAATGGAGGAAACAGAGCTGGCAAGATGGTCAAGCCTGACGGCAGAAGTTTGATCCCTGGGATCCATGTGGTGGAAGGAAGAGAATCAGCTCCTGCAAATTGTCCCCTGACCTCCATTGCGCATGCCCATACATACACAAGTAAATAAACATAAAGAAGCAAATGAGGAAAACGACGATCTCCCTTTCTCTCCTACAATTTTGACATTTTGGGGGCTGGGAGGAAGGAATATCCCCAGCTAAACCCTGTCCTCACCTAAAAGGGCACACTGTGTCCCTGTGCACCCTAGCCTGTGGCATGAGGTAGTTATGGCCAGGATGGGCTGGACTATGTCTTCTTCCCCCAAGAGGTGTTAGTGTCTTAAGCTGGAGAGACGGCTTGGTTTGCAAAGTATTTGCTTCACAAGTTTGATCCCTAGAACCCACATAAAAGCTGGGCATGGGGGAGTGTGTCTACAATCCCGATGCTGGTGAAGCAGAGCTCAGAGGGTCCCTCAGGCTCCCTGTCCAGAAGCCTATCCTTGTTGCTTAACCTTAGATGGCCAGTGATTGAGGAAGACACGAAGCCTTGACCTCTGGTGTCTGCCTGCAGTCCCCGCCCCCACATGCATGCATGGACATGTACACACACACAAAAGCATGTTAGCGTTCTTGCTTGCAGTACCATGTGCTCTTGCTTGGAACTTGACAGAACTCGCAAGTTAAATGGAACTCATTATGGTAAGTCCCAATTCGATATAAGGCATGTCTCCAGTTAAAGGAGAATTTGAGCCAGAGCCAGACACATCCAGAGAGAGAGAGGAGAGAGAGAGAGAGAGGGGGGCGAACCCTCTCAGAAGACAGCAACATGCTGGAGCAGCGTCTCTCAACCTTCCCAATGTCCCTCGTGTTGTGGTGACCCCCAGTCATCAAATTATTTTCACTGCTACTCCATAACGGCAACTGTGCTACTGTTGTGAATTGTCATGTAAATACCTGACATTTCCAATGGTCTTAGGCGACCCTTGTGAAAGGGTCATTCAACACCCCCTCCCCACTTCTAAAGGGGTTACAACCCACAGCTTGAGGATCACCGTGCTGGAGTTATGCACCACAAAGTTAGGAATGCCAAAGATGGCCGCAAACACCAGGGGCTGAGAAGCAAGGGAGGGGACTCTTCTAGAGCTGTCAGAGAGAGAAGGCCCAGCCTGTCAACACCTTATTGCCAGCTTTCAGCCTCCAGAAATGGGAAATGACACAGTTCTGTTGTTTCTTTTTTTTTTTTTTTTCATTTTTGTTGTTTCACAGCACCAGCTGCTGCTTCTTTGTTCCGACAGCCCTGGGAAATGAATTCAGGCACAGTTTTGGGAAGCCTGAATAAATAAACATTTTGCCAACCCTCTAGCTCCCAAGAGCCCTCTGCAAGGCATTTAGGAAGGTCTGATGGTACGGAAAGGAGAGGCAGGCGGAGAGGAGCCCTTGGGCTGGATGCCAGCAGGATGCTCAGGCCAGAAATGCCAGTTGCTGGGAATTTTCAAACAGAAAAGTTAAAAGTTAAGGGTGAGGAGCTGTGGAGCAGGTAAGGCAAGCACGAGGACCCAAATTAGAACCCCAGAACCCATGTACGGAGCCAGGCTTCTAATCCCAGCACTGGGGAGGAGACAGCAGGTGTTTGCTAGCCAGCCAAACTAGCCAGCTTGCTGGCTTAGAGACCGGGGAGAGACCCTGTCTCAAAAATTAAGATGGATGGTACCTGAGAACGGACACTTGAGGCGCTCTTCTAGTCTTCACTGGCACATGTGCCCATGTGCTTATATACCTACACATAATACATATACCAACACACACACTTGCGCGCACATACAAGTAAGAGTCACTGTCTTTCTTCCTCTCACTTTCTCTCTCTCTCTGTTAAGTTTTGTTTGTTTGTTTGGTTGGTTGTTTGAGACAGCCTTTCACTGTGTAGCCCTAGCCATCCTGGAACTTGCTCCTGAGTGCTGGGAATAAAGGCATGCGCCACCACCGCCCAGCACAGTATTTCTTTGTGAGTGATGCTGGGGAGTAAATCCAGGGCCTCCCACATTTACCAATGAGCCACATTCACCTCCAGCCACTGGTTTTAAAAACTAAGCTTCACGCTTACTTGCTGTGCTATTCTGGGCAAGTTACTGAACTTTTCTGAGCTGCAGATACCTCATCTGCAAGATGGGAACAACTACAGCTCTCAGGACATAAGACTGTCATATTGGTCCATCGATGTAATATTTACTTAATATAGAAAGAGAGAAAGGCAGCCTATCTGTACACAGACCAGAAGGTAGACATTTCCCTCTCATTGCTAGCTCTTGAGAGATTTCAGGTGGGTAGCCTGGACTCTAATGTGTTCATTCACCAAGGTGCTAAATGTACCTACTGTGTGTCTACTAATGCTAGGCAGACTTAGACCATGCCACCCCAAAATAGTCAGCTCAACAGGCACTTAAAATAGAGAGCCAGTGTACAAAATGGGCAAATAATAAAAAATTAAAGCTGGGCATAGTGTTGGATGCCTGTAATGCTAGGAGTTCAAAGTCATCCATGGCTACATGTCTGGTTTGAGGTCAGTCTGAGCTACATAAGACCCTGTTGTGAACAAACAAACAAACAAAAAAAAAATCCAAAATACTCCAAAAATGAAAAAGCCAAACCAAATCAAACCAAACCAAACAAGACAAAAGCCACAACAACAAAAACAGTAGAAGCCTAGCATGGTAACAGGCGTCTGTACTCCCAGTACTTGGAAATTGTTATGGGTTTCGGGCCAGCCTGAGCTACTAGTGAGATCTCTCTTCAGCAACAAAACATAGAGTCAATACTGTTTAGGTGCATTTCCTCTCCTCTGAGCCTCATCTTTTGAAGATTCTGCCATGGCTCTCAAGGCCTACAGCCCTTTCTGATGCCTGATCCCAGCGGAATCTTGCTCCTTGAGAAAGAGGGGGAGGGCTCACAGACAAGGACTGTGAGACCCATGCTGTTAAGTGACAGCTGTCGCTCAAAGCAGGCACCTGCAAGCTGCTCCTGTAAAGACACTCCTGCACACAGAGAGCACAAAGCTTCCAGGCCGAAGGACCCAGAGAAATTGGTCTAAAGCCAGTTGGTTCACAGAGAGAAAGGAGGCTCAGTTGTCAGGTGTGGCCCAGGCAAGGTGAGACTCAGATGATGGCTTTCCCAGAATTCACGGTCCCACACTGCCCCATGTGCACGGATGCTCACAGCAGACCAAGCTCTTGGTTACACTGGTTTGAAACACTGCTTTCATGGTGTAGCGAGCACCCCCATCCATATCATTTATAGGGCGCTTCATTATATGCCAAGGGCTCTGTTTTAAAATTTATGTGTGTGCATGTTTTGTTTGTGTACGTATATGCACCTGTGTGTCTGATAACTAAGGAAGGCAGAAGAGGGTGTTGGATACCCTAGAACTGGAGTTATGTGGACTTCTCAATGGGGTACCAGGAACCAAACCTGGGTCCTCTGTAAAACCAACAAATGCTCTCACCCTCTGAGCCATCTCTCCAGCCTTACCAAGGGTTTTTCTTAAAAAATGTAAATTCTTTTTTTGTTTGTGTTTGTTTTTCGAGACTGGGTTTCTCTGTGTAGCCCTGGCTGTAGACCTCTCTGTAGGCCAGGCTGGCCTTGAACTCTGAGATTTGCTGGGATTAAAGGCATGCGCTACCACGCTTGGCTTAAAACTCGTAAATTCTTAATGTAGTTTACGTAAGGCATTTTAACTGGGCACTAATCGTACGCGTATAATTCGGAGGAACACACACACACACACACACACACACACACACACACACACACACACACACTTTCTGTAACCCTCACCAAGCACCCCGAAAGGTTACACTATGTTCCTTCCCAATCAGTAACCACACGTCCAGAGACAACCAGCATTCTGACTTCTACCCGGTGAACTCTTGAACTGGCTTCCGAACGTCGCCCCGTGCACGGTAAGCGCTCCGAGGAGCCCTGCTCTCGGGTCCGTCCTCGTGTGCTTCAATAATCAGCTGAGAAGTTTCACCAGACCAAAAAAAAAAAAAAAAAAAAAAAAAAAAAAAAAAATTCAGCAACCGGTACTAAGGGTCAAAGGAGGGAGGAGCCAGCGACCAGGACTGTGAATTCCATCGCGTTTCGGGGCCACGGAAGGCTCGGTAGAGGACACTTCACACTGGTGGAGGAGAAGGAATTTGTCTGCAGAAGAAGAGACGCGCTTTGAGTTGACGCCACATTTCATCTGAGTCTGGCGGATTGTGCGAGCGAAGGCCGGAGGTGTCGTCCTGAGGGCGTGAAGCCACCAAAGCCTCTCTGGACACGTTTGAGCTGACATTTGATGCCCGGAAGAGGAGATGGAGTAAAAGGGTCGTATTACAAAATAAGACGGAGAGGACATTGGACTTGGGCTCCAAGGGAGAAGTTAGAACTTCACCAGGCGAGGAGCGACTTCAGCCAGGGACAGAAAAAGTTTCCCGGAGTCACTTTTCGAGACTCAGGACGCAGGATCGGAGGCTCCGAGCACGGAAACGCCTGAAACTCCAAGGATTTCCCCGCGTGAACCTCCGCGGACACCGGCCGGGCGGCAGCCCAACCACGCGGCTTTGCGGAGCTGCCCGGCGGGGCTGAATGCTTTATGTCCGAACTGACCAATGGGCTGGCGGCACCCGGTTGCCAGGGCTACGGGGCGGTCAGGGGCGGGGCCAGGGCACCGGGGGCGGGGCTCGGGGGCCCTTATATAAGCGAGCGACCGGGCGCAAGGCGGGGCGTGGGGTCGGTGGCTGCTGGGCGCGCGGGGCGCAGGCCGCGGGGCCGGAGCCCGGGGGAGCGAGCGAGCGGGCGGAGGCGCAGAGGATCCGGTTCACTGGCTGGGGAGACCTATGGGCCGAAGCCGTGTAAATGCGTTTTAAGGCGAGTGCAGGGGTTGGCTGGGGGGAGCCTCGGGGAGCGGGCGCCCTCGGCTTTGGGCGCTGACCCGCTCCCCGGGGGGCCCCCCTTGCCTCCTCTCAGCAGGGGCCTCGGCTCCGCAACTGCCACTCCTCCTCGGGGTGTTGCACAAGTTTCGAGGTCACCGGCGAGCCCCCCTAGCAGCGCGCCTGGCTCTGGCCCCCGCGAAGGAGGACGGGGCTTGGTAAGGAGGTCTGGGGCTGGGGCGCGGGACCCCTCGCCTTGCGCTCGAGAGAGGGGTCCCGCGGGAACTCACCCGTGGCTCTTAGAGCATCCTTAGAGTGTCAGAACCAACCTTTTATAAACGGGGAAACTGACCTAAGGTCATGCATGCAGCAGAGAGCAGAGGCGAACTCAAGTTCAGCGTTTTGGGCCCTTTAGGTAGGCGTGGTCGGGACTGGAGGCGCCCCCAGCCCTCAAGATTTCCCCACCTAGATTTCTCAGATCTGTTTCCTACGCTTGCTCTTTTCTTTCCAACCCCAAATTTCAGAACTGGAGAGGAGCTCCAGAGCAATCCCATTTAACAGATGGGGGTAATTGAGGCTCTAGCAGACACAACATCACGGTTCCCAGCGAACCTCCGCTTCTCAGGCTGGGGGAGGTCAGAGCATGACTGGGCAGGGAATCCAGGCCTTGGGAGGTGAGGGATGCAGCCTGCCCCGCGACCGTCCCCTCCATCTCCCTCTCCCCGCAGTGTGTTGCATACTTTCTAAGGCGGTGGCCAAGGCAGCCAGCGGTGCTCCAAGGCAGCAGTTCCATCGAGCCCCTGGGCGCCTCCTGCTCAGCATGGCTGGCTATCTGAGTGAATCGGACTTTGTGATGGTGGAAGAGGGCTTCAGCACCCGGGATCTGCTGGAGGAACTCACTCTGGGGGCCTCAGAGGCCACCACGGTGAGGGAACGGGAATGGGGTTGTGGGTCCTCTGGTAGGAGAAACCCCCCCCCCCCCCCGTGCTCTAATTTGCTTTCGGGTACTTGATATGTATAGACTGCCTCCTTTTATCCCCAATTCTCCCCCCCCCCACATTTGCCACCCCTGTGTTCCCCGCCTTGAGAAAAGAGCAGCAGCACCACATTCAGGTGAGAACCCAGGAGTTTCCACTTCCTGCTCTCTCCTCTCCTGTCTAGGCGTCCTCACCTCTGTGCAGTTCACCTTGAAGGCTCTAGGAGCTTCATGGGAGAACCTCCGTTTGTAGTTGGTCCTCATCTCTCCCAAGCCCCCACGGCCTCCTGTTTTTCTCACCTCCTGCAACTCTCCTCCAAAGCGGAATCCTACCCCGGCTCCCCACTGCCACAAGAGCCAATCAGCCTCCACAGCCGCGCTTCCGGCTTTAGACCCCCAGTCTTGCACTTTGCTCCGTTAGAGCAGGATTGCCGTGTATGCTGTTTTACTGTCTCTTTTCTGGGCTGTGCCCTCTGGGGCATCTCTCTCCCCTTTACTCAGCTCTCGTGTCCCCTCCCATCACTGTTGCCTTTTTTTTCCTGATTTGCTTCTGGCTGGTTTTGTATTTCCTATCTCCATGGCCACTAACCTATTTTGTAGAGAGTCCCATCTAGCATTTATTGAAGGGACTTGTACTTACTTAAGGGCTATTTCTCTTCTAGATCCAAGCCCTTTCAAGGTCTTTGGCCTTCCCTGCCCCTTAATTATTATGTTGGACACCAAGTGGATATCCATTAAAAAAAAAAAAAAAAAAGGCGTTACTTGAAAAGGAAAATGAGTCCCAGGAAGGGTTCATCACAGCCTCATCCATGTCTGTGAGGACCAAGCATGGCTTGCAAGTGGGATGAGCACCTGTGTGTCAGTGGCAGTGCGCTGCAAGCCACAGCTGCGTCTGCCCATTGTGGGAGCAGACAGCTGTATATACAGTTCTGCTTTGAAAGGACATGCAGAATGCAGCCAGAACATTAAGTGTTATGGATTAAAATAATATGTGTTAGTATATATTTAAACTATACATTATGATATATACTATAGTTATTACACACACATATGTATAAATGAGGGGGTAGCATTTAGGCCAAATGACAGTAGATTGGGAATCTGCCAAACCCAGCAGAGGGCATGGTGGGAACACAGGCTCAGGAGTGGGAAAGAGGGACAGTGTGTATAGTTGGCTTTAGCTGAGAGGAGGGGCTGGAGTTGCTCACGCCGCCTTAAATGTCAGCCTGAGATTGCCTTCCATCCTCCTGGAGGAGGTGGGCGCCTCAGAAAGCTACAGCAGGGTGTTGGAGGCAATACTTGAGAGGTGGCCCTGAGAGGGAGCCAGGTCTCACATCCGTTCGCCTCTTGCTGTGCAGGGCAAGGTGGCTGCCTTCTTCGTGGCTGACCTGGGTGCTGTGGTGAGGAAGCACTTCTGCTTTCTGAAGTACCTGCCTCGAGTCCGGCCATTTTATGCTGTCAGGTGCAACAGCAGCCTGGGTGTGCTGAAGGTCCTGGCTGAGCTGGGGCTGGGCTTCAGCTGTGCCAGCAAGGTGAGCTCCTCTGCCCCTCCCGTGCACATGGCCCTGATGCTCCTCCAAGTACCCTCCTGGTTTTGGTGACTCCGGGGAAGAGGAGGGACCTTTGATTGACCATGGCCTTCTCAAGAGAAGAAGAGGCTCCAGGGAGGAGGGAGAAGGAAATGAGCATGGAATGTGTCAGCTCTGAAGTTCCAAAAAGAAACCAGAGATGTCTCTGGACATAGGGGTCACCTTTTCAATGGTCTTGAATTTATCTTTCTGTTTTATTATTTATATATATTTCCCCCTTAAGATAGGGATTCATGTAGGCCAGGCTGACTTTAAACTCAATATATAGCTGAGGCCGGCCGGCTTTGAACTCCTGATTCTCCTAACTTTCACCCTCCCAAGTGCTGGGATATATCACCATACCAGGCTATTTTTTTTTTCTTTTTAAAGAAATACACATATTTTAGCTTTTTTTTTATCATTTAAAAATTAAATTAAATAGCAGTTTTAAAATGTCTTAGCCTAGAGCGGTAGGTGCTAATCCTGTAATTAAAACAAAACAAAACCACTGCTATGCTGTTGAACTTTTTTTTCCCTTTATAAGCTTAACGTGTGACTGTGTTTTTCAGTCTAATCCTCTCAGAGTTTTGTTGCTGCAGGCTGTCTTCCTAATTTGATTTCTGCTCTTTTACTTCCCCCCTGGTGGCTTTTGATGGGCTTTGCTTACTTGCCGTCTGTAGTCATGAGTTATGGTGTAGCAGTGGCTGTCGGGGCGGGGCTCACAGTGTGGCACCGAGCCAGACACACGCTGCTCATTTAGCGAGTTTTGTTCTGTTTGTGCTCGATTAAAAGCCTTCTCACTCAAGTCTATCTCATTCGCTCACTCAACAAAATACTATTCTGGGTGGGAATTTAACTGTGAGTAAAACAATTTAAAAAGTCCTCCTTTTATGGTGGCTTTTTTTTTTTTTTCTCCCTGAGGCAGGGTTTCTCTGTGTAGCCTTGACTGTCCTGGACTCACTTTGTCCTGGACACACTTTGTAGACCAGGCTAGCCTCGAATTCACAGAGACCTGCCTGCCTCTGCCTCCCTGAGCGCTGGGATCACAGGCGTGCGGCACTGCACCCGGCTGTTTATGGTGCTTTTTAAAAAAAAACTTAATGAAAATACGTGATGTCGTAGGTGGGACGTAGCAAAGCTGGCTGAGGGGATTGTTCTTGGTCTGCTCCGAAGCAGTGTCAGTCCCTGTGGACCATCGTCTACAGCTCACTCTTTACCACAGCCTGGCTTTGCCCTCCCAGGCCTCCTGTTTCAGCTGTCTAAATGCTGGGATTCCAGGAGGATTCACATCAGCACTCCTGGCTGGACTGTGCTTTTAGATGGTTGTCTAAGGAAGGATTCTCTGAGATTTGGCTTCACGCTTGAATGAGGCCGAAGACTGAGCCAGGTGGAGAGCTAGAGGAAGGACGTTGCAGGCAGAGGTTAGGGCCAGGCCCTGAGGTGGAAGCAAGTGTGCTAGGCATTACTTGTGATGTCAGCACCATCATTTTCTTGATGACTGGTAATGGCTGTTCTGAGGAGATCAGCAATGTGGCTGGGCGATGGGAATAGAGTCCTGGAAAGAATTCTCGGAGGAGAAAGGAGAGCTAGCCTGGCCAAGACTGGGGCTAGAGTGATTCCGGGGAAGGAAAATGTTTGTTCTGGGGTGGGAGATGAGCAGGCAGGTAAACTCAGGCAGGTCAACTATTGATCACTCTTTGTGGTTGAGGGCTCTCCTCTTGTTCTTTGCATGCCCTGTTCTGTATGTGTCTGCCATGAAGCCCAGTGAGGTGGAAGGCTTTGCTCTCCCTGCTTGCCTCCTGTAGCATGGTTCCTGTAGCATAGTGGGTCTTCCTATAGAGGCAGGAAGGAGCAGGACCCTTTGGTTCCCCCGAAGTAGGGTTGCAAAATAGGGTGAAAGGTCACTGATTAGATCCCCCAGCTTCTGGAGACTCAGGAATGAGGTGTTTGGTCCTCTAGCTTCAGGGGGTGGCCGCTGAAGGACAGAACTGTGGGGTGCAGAGTCTTAGAAAAACTTCAAAGACAGGAGAGATGGGTGTGCTGAAAGTATCTACCACTGTTGATCTCTGCCCGGCAAATGATCTCATTTTATTCTCGTAACAGTTCCGTGAGTTCATTCTTTGGCCCGGATTCTGACAACAGTTAAACACGGAATACGTGTTTAACATATAAGGAAGTGAGTCATAGAAGTCCAGCCACCTGCTTAGGGTCATGCACTGGGAGATGCCAGCTCGAGGCCGTCAGTATGCTTTCAGCCTCTGTTGGTGCTGCCTTTTCCAAGATCCTTGGAGAGGGTGGCTGTGCCGGCCCGTGGCTGATGAAAACGTCCTCTTTCATTGCTTGGTGGATTTAGTCGAGTGGTGGCTGCTGGTACTTGCCACTCAGGCTTACCATGCACCGGGCAAGGACATTACCGCCAGTCTACATTGCTACCCACCCCTTTTAGGTATTTTAAGGGTGGAGGCTGCCCTCTTCTGGTAGGTCACAGTGGGTGACCTTTCTGGACTTAGACCAAAAGCCTGGCATGAGCAGCAGGGCTGGATGTATAGACAAGCAGTCCGGTCAGAGGCCGAGGCTGCACTCTCGTCCTCCCGCTGCTTTCCCAAGAGACTTCTGTCTTTGATCCCGCCTCCTGGCTTCTTTCCGGATTAGTGCATTCCCCAGCCCACTCCCTTGCTCCCCCCTGTGGCTGAACTCAGCAGAGCTGTCTGCTGGACCTGCCTGAGAATTTCTTCTATCAAGGTACCCAGGGATCAGAGAGGACGCAATGACCATTTTATTTTATTTTATTTTTTATTTAGACAGGATTTTATGCAACTGATGCTGGCTGGGAACTCTTGATCCTCTTAATTCAAATTCACTTTTTGAGTGCTGAGATTATAGTGGGACACATACCACCACACCCAGTTTATTTGATTACTTGATCTTCCTTCCTTCCTTCCTTCCTTCCTTCCTTCCTTCCTTCCTTCCTTCCTTCCTTCCTTCCTTCCTTCCTTCCTTCCTTCCTTCCTTCCTTCCTTCCTTTTTCTTCCTTCTCCTCCTCCTCCTCCTCCTCAGTTTTAAATAGAGTCTGACTATATAACCCAGGCTTGCCTCAAACTCGTAGCCGCACTGAGATTAGAAGATGGACACTGCTCCTAGATTTCATTGACCACCTTACTTTAAACGTGATCATATAAGCCCAGAGTAATGGCACATGCTTGTAATTGCAGCACTCAGAAGGCGAAGGCAGGAGGATTGTTGTGACTATGAACTGGACAGAGTTCTTAGTTAACAAGAACCCAGCTCAAAACAAGAAAAAAAAATTGCAAACAGAAACTACCCCATAACTCCTTACTGGATATTCCAGTAACACATTGTTTTGTTCAGTCAAAGAGAACTCGAGGGATGCTGGTTGTATGCCTCCGTAGAGAATGTGCATTCCAGGTTTGGGGGGTGTCTAGCATCTAGAAACACATGAACAGCTGGCTGGAGGCACAGCAGGCATCTTGCGATATGGAGAACACCCATGTTGCTTTAATGCGGCTGGCTTTGGAGAGGTTTCTGCATGAATATGTTTGGGAACTCTGCTTTATCATCTCTTAACAGTATTCAGCCCAGCAAACATTCTTTTAAAAAAAGATCCAAGATTATATAAATTCCCAGTTTAAAAGTCTTCAGAAGTACGCAGAAGAGAGAGAGGAGAGAGAGGGGTCTTTGGGCCCACCTTTACCCTCAGAGAACACTTTTGATGATTTATCCTGTATGTGTTTTTCTTGTTCTTGCCTCTGCGCAGGCCCTAGGTGCTAGCTTCTCTGAGGCCTGCTGCTGGGAATGGCGCAGCCCTCTGGACTCAGTCTTAAGCTCCCTCGCCACTTTAAACACCATCCATTCACTGTTGCCTCCCTCCCTTCCTTAAATGGTTACCTCACACCTGTCCACCCATTTGACGTTCAGTCTGCGTTCAGTCTCACACCCTCACCCCCACATCCACTATGCCATCCTCTCTCCAGAACAGTCTCTGTCCTTTCTAGTGTGGCTTTGTCATTTCTCCCAGGTGATTGTGACAGGCATGGACCAGTCTCCAATGAAGTCTTTCTTCAGGTGGCCAGAATAAGCACTTAGACCTTTCACTTAATAATGCAAAATGACCCAATCCCTCCCTCCTACCTTTCCTCTTTCCTTTCTTCCCTCCTTTCCTTCCTTCCTCCTTTTCACAGAGTCTAATAGTCCAGGCTGGCGTTGAACTTCTAATCCTGTCAAAACCTCCACAGTGCTGGTATTGCAGATGTGCTTGGTCACATCTGGCTGTCACATCTGACCGCCATATCTCTCCTTGGAACTCCTGAAGCTGTTGTTTTCCCCACACAGGGTAACATGTAAACGCACACACTGCTTCCTGGTCCCTAGGAAGGAATGTGCTGCCTCCCCCCACATCCTCAGCCCTCATCATCCCCATGCCACTGAACCCCGCCCAGGCCACTCCAGCTTTCTCAGCCCTGGGTTAGGCCTTAGAACCTCTGTGCTGCGGCTGCTTGGTCTGCTGAACTACCATCCCCGGCCTGTCTGAGCTTCTGCCGGGGCCTCTGGTTGTTCTTCTGACTCATTTGGCTGTCTTTTGCCCTTCATACCCAGGGCTGCTCATTCTGTAGCATTCTGTACCGTTTCATGACAGGATACCTTGAACCCATTGGCCATTCTGCCTTTATTCAACACGCATGCATTTGTCTCTGCCTCTGCCCCAGCAGCCTGAAAGCTCCCTAAAGTCTGAGACCCCATCTACTTTATTCACCACTTATTCTCTTCAACACCTGTCACAGCCTGGCAAATTAATCGGTGCTCAAGAGGTGCCTGTCAGTGTAGGTTGAGCTCTGACAATTAAGCTAAAGGACGTTGAATTAATGACTTAACCCTGAAAACCTCGTTTCTACCTCATAAGGTGATTTATGAAGATTAGATGAGGATGTGTATGACTGGGATGCAGTGGCTGACATAGAGAAAGCCTTCCCTGAGTGATGCTTATTGTTTAAATATTTACAACCACAGTGACTTAACTCCCAGGCCCTCTTTTCACCTTGTGTAGGGAGCGAGGGGACATTTTCATCTTTACCCAGGCTTGGTTCCGTGACAGGTCTGCAGCTGGGGTGTGGGCTGTGGCAGCCACAAGTCCAGCTCTGGAGCTGGATCCCTGTCCCACGCCTCCCACTTCCAGGCTTATTGTTGCCACAGGTAGGTGGAGCTCTCTGAACTCATCGTTCCTCGATGTGAATACTGAAATCTGACAGGAATTAGCCTTACAGGAATTAGTGCATGGAAACAGCTACTGTTGAAAGCTGCTCAGTCAGAATTAGACTCACCGTGGCTGCAAGCAGCTCTCAGTTCTCCTATCTTGTTCCCAAACTGGCTGTCTCCGGACTCCCTTATTCATGGAGAGGCACACTTGACTCTGGATGCTGGCTTTATTTGTTGCAGAGCTTCTTCCTTCCTTCCTTCCTTCCTTCTTCCTTCCTGTCTTTCCCTCCCTCCCTCCTTCCTCCTTCCTCTCTCTCTGAGACAGGGTTTCTCTCTGTAGTTCTGGCTTTCCTGAAACTCGCTCTGTAGACCAGGCTGGATTCAAACTCGTGGAGATCTGCCTGCCTCTGCCTCCCAATAGCCTCTTTTTTTATTTTTTTAAATAACATTTTATTTATTTTGTGTGCACCTGTATGCATGGGTGAGTGCATGTGGGCGCGTGTGCTAAGACATTGCTGGCCTTGCATGGCTTCTCATACCCCCCCCACCCCCCCCCGCACAGCACAGGGGCTGTCAGCACTATGACTCTATAGGAAATGCTTTCTAGCACTTTATGGAAAGCATCTCATTTAGGGCCTTCTTGCAGCAGGTGCTCAGCGCACATGGCTACTTAACACCCCCCACATGACTCTCCATATCACTGACACAGCAAGCACACGAGGAGGAGCTAGGGGTGAGGCCCAATGCTTTGAACCCCCAAACCTGAAGTGGCTAAGGAGAGAGCATTTGGTAGGGCGTTGGCCTGGCATACACAGAAGCCTGGGTTTGATCCTCAGCTTCATGGGACATCCTTGTCCGGCTCCATGGTGGATGGAGGATCTGACTACACAGTTGTCCTCCGACCTCCTCATGTGCACACGGCACCCACACACGCCTGTGCGCACACAATAATAATAAAGTACTTTAAAAAATGAAGTTCAGGCGGGCGTGGTGCTGCTCGGCTAATCCAACACTCAGGGAGGCAGAGGCAGGCAGATCTCAAAGCGAGTCCAGGACAACTGAGGGTACATAAAGAAACCCTCTTTCAACCCCCCCCCCCCAAAAAAAAAAAAAAACAAGGACAAAAAAATCTCTCCTCTCTCCAACCTGAGTGGGTCCTCTTTCTCTTTCCAACTACTCCCTCTTCTGCTGTCAACCTTTTTTTTTTTATTATTATTATTTGAGGACACTTCATGCTATTTTCCAAGCACCTTTCATTAAAGGTGTCAGTTTGTCAGACGCTGGTGGGTCTGCACACTGCCTTGGTGTGTTCTTGTGTGTTTGTGTGTGTTTTTAATGATGCCTTTATTTTTATGCATAAGGATGTTTTGCCTACATGTATGTAGGTGCACCACATGCATGCCTGGTGCCTGCAGAGGATCCTTTGTAACTAGCGTGTAATGGATGGTTGTGAGACCATGTGGGTGCTGGGAACAGAATCAGGTCCTCTGCGGGAGCAACAAGTGTGCTTAACTGCCGAGCCATCTCCTTAGCCCAGGGTGCCTCCCTTTAAAGGATTTTTGGAATAAATAGACTGATTGTGGTAGAATGAGATTTTTTTCTGCTGATAGGAAGTTAGAATAAGTGTGCGAATATGACCTGTCTTTGTTATGAAAAGGGACCTTCCCAGGACTGTACAGGTGTATCACCCCTGTGTCTGAACATGGTGGCCCTGCCGTCAGAGAATGGGTAATGAATGCAAAGTGATTGCTGTCTATCCGCTGTCCTAAAGAGCTGCCCTGGTGGTGGCACACGCCTTTAACCCCAGCACTTGGGAGGCAGAGGTAGGCAGATCTCGGAGTTTGAGGCCAGCCTCGTCTACAGAGTGACCAGGACAGCCAGGGCTACACAGAGAAAGCCTGTCTCAAACAAAACAAAACAACAAAACAAAACAAAAGAACCAAAAACCAACCAACCAACCAACAGAAAGAGAGCTGGCCCATGTATGTTGATGCCTCAGTGACCAGTTATGCGTTTGTCCCTCATCTGGCTCTCCTGGGCTCCACAGGCCAGCAGGCCCTGGGGCCTCCTCATCACAACCTTTGGAACTTCACAGGCAGAAATGGAGTTGGTCCAGCATATTGGCGTCCCTGCCAGTAAGATCATATGTGCCAACCCCTGTAAGCAAATCGCACAGATCAAGTATGCTGCCAAGCATGGGGTGAGCCTGCTGAGCTTCGACAACGAGGTGGAGCTGGCTAAGGTGGTCAAGAGCCATCCCAGTGCCAAGTAAGCCGAGGACCGCTCGTGCAGGGAGTCTGCGCTGTTGGGTGAGGGTGGGGAGCTGGGGAGAGGTCCCCACCCTGGATGCTCCTTGGATTTCACCACACTTCCAGGAGGATGGGGGGTACTCCTGGAGAGGACCCAGATCCAGGGCAGACCTGTTAGAGCCCTAGGTAGAAAAAGCGCAGGGTGTTATGGAGGTCAAGGTCACAGCTTCAAATATGGGATTTGAAGTTGGCCTTGAGGAACGAGTGAAATATGGGGAGGCATAAACAGCCGAGCAAATATGTGGGTGTGGGGAAGCAGCATGGAGCACTGGAGGGATACGGACAAGTGTGGTATTGTTTGAATATACCATGTGCAAGCATGTGGGTGAAGGACAGGATAATATTGGTCATGGGGTGGGGTCATGGAGTGAGGATGGATATTTTGCTCTGGTTGTGACTAGCACCTTGATGGTCTGAGGAAATAGTAGGGTGTCCAGGAGCCATTCTGGTTCACCCGAAGAGCAGCACCCCTCATGTTTGAGGACTCTCTTTAGGAGTTTGTTTGATGCATGGTTGGCTCTTGAGTGGTATGTCAGCAAACTTAGGAAACCTGGCTGGTATGAGGTTAAGCAGAAAGACCTGAGCTGCCCTGGGTTAGGGCTGATGAGGTCTGGACCCGGCAGGTGACTCAGAAATCAATTGGCAACTCAGGGTAACCTAGGAAGGCTGTGGGCGCAGTGGCGTCTCGGCTGTGTGGTTCCCAGCTCACTAGTCCAAAGAGGAGAGGCTGGGGGTGGCGGTTGGGGACTCGCCCAGTAGGGGTGTGCTGCGTTTCTCCGCAGGATGGTTCTATGCATCGCTACCCAGGACTCCCACTCTCTGAGTCACCTGAGCCTCAGGTTCGGGGCATCGCTGAAATCCTGCAGACATCTGCTAGAAAACGCCAAGAAGAGCCACGTGGAGGTGGTGGGTGTGAGGTGTGCACGGGGATCCAGCCACCCTGCCCAGGCCAAACCCCTTACCTTTTTTCCAGGAATTGTTCATGGATATCCTGGGCCTCTCGAAGGGCCTGCAGTTCTGCCACTGGACACTGTCCTCTCTTTAGGATAGGAGGAGGATTTCCCAGCATCCTTCCCCACAGCCCCCCGAAAGCTTATCCCAGGAGCTTCCTCCCATGGATATGGCTTTGTGAGAATTGGGCACGCCTATAAGCCACAGCGTCACCGTGTTCTGGAGACGCGTCTTTCCACGCAGAGATAGGGTATAGCTGTGGTCGCTTCTCTGGTTTTATTTATTCTGTACTTCAGGTTGCACGCTGAGTGTCTTCTCCACACCCTTGTGCAGTAAGGGCTTTCCTCCCCAGCCTGTAGATGGCGAGACTTAAACAGAGCAAGCTGAGTGACTTGCTGTAGCCACATGCTGGCTGACAGGAATATACTGGATACCTTGGCATCTGAGCCCTCATCCCAGAAGGTTCTTCTCCAGAGAAGCATGAAGAGGTGGGGGAAGTGGCCCCCTGTCCACTCCTAGCTTACCATGTGACCCTTTGTAGCCCATTCAGCGTTCCAGGCCTCAGTCATTGTGTCTGTAACATGGGGGTACCTGGACCTTGATTGTAAGCTGAGGCTTTTTTTCCCTTCCCAGTTTTGACATTGGCAGTGGCTGTCCTGACCCTCAGGCCTACGCCCAGTCCATCGCAGATGCCCGGCTTGTCTTTCAAATGGGTGCCGAGCTGGGCCACACGATGAACATTCTGGACCTTGGTGGCGGCTTTCCTGGCTTAGAGGGAGCCAAAGTGAGATTTGAAGAGGTAACTTGTGCCGTCGCTTTGCAGTGGGGGAAGGGTGCAGCGGGCACAGGGAGCCACTGACCAGTCTGTCTGGCCTGAACGTCACACCCTGTGGCTTTAGTGCTTCCCTGGACTCGGTCGCTGTTTACTAACCCTGTGCTGTGGCTCAGCCGGGCTGATAGAGTTTATGTCACTTCCCAAGTCCACAGCAGAGCAGGCTGGAGCCCCCACTCTGCCTGACGCCGGCCCACGCGCTTGAGGCTCAGCCAAGGCATGTTTATATGCCATGAGCTCTTTGATGGTCTGAGTATGTGCCTTACTTATCAGCCAAGGAGCTGATAAGAAACCTGGTGGGAAGGACCGGGAAGGAAAACCAACCTTTGTCCCATCAGGTCACTACCCCCACCCATCCTCCCACCTGTGAGGCAAGTCTCTATGTGTGGAAAGTGACCCCAAGAAGACCTCAGACACCCAAGGAATTAGCCTCGAGATTGAGAATTGCAGCCTTGTACATAGCAGAAGTCTAGTGGACTTCCCAGTGCTCAGACTGGCCGGACTGTGGTGAAAACATTTATTCATGTGGGCAGGACATTCAGAGTCCATTGAGTGCAACAGGTTATAAAAACATACTTGTGGGGCTGGAGAGATGGCTCAGTGGTTAGCAGCACTGGCTGCTCTTCTAGAGGACCTGAGTTCAATTCCCAGCACCCACATGGGGGCTCGTAGCTGTCAGTAACCCCAGTTCCAGGGGATCCGACAACTTGATACAGACAAAACACGGATGCACACAAAATGAATACCTCTTTAAAAAATACCATATATGTACTGGGGTAGTATTACACGCCTGTAATTCAGCACCTGGGAGGTGGATGTAGGAAGATCAGGAGTTCAAGGCCAGCTGCTTGAGGCCTGAGCTCAAATTACCAACCCTTCTCCCATAAAGAGTAAAAACAAAACAAAACAAAATAACAACAACCCCCCCAAACCCACATAACCCAACTATGTTTATAATTAAAAATAGTATTTGCCTAAGGATGAGAGGAGCTGCTAAAAGTTCACAGTGATGGGGCTCACCCACCCTGATGACAGATCTAGCTTGGCATGTTTGCTTTCTTCTGGAACCTAACCTACTATTTAACAAGCTGGCTGGTTATGAAGGAAGGCTCCCTGCCCAGGGAATCTGGGATCTGAGCGCCAAGCATTTCAGGATGGAATACCCCTCTCTCTGTGGGGTTGATTTTCTGGGTGAGTGAGCTATACAACCGATAGGTCATCAGCCCCACCCCCCCAACCCCACCATGCCTTCCAGCTGGGACCTTAGCAACTGCCAAATTCTTCCCCCGAAATCCCATGGTCCCGCTTGCTTGTTCCTCTCTGCCAGATTGCCTCTGTGATCAACTCAGCCTTGGACCTGTACTTCCCTGAGGGCTGTGGTGTGGACATCCTTGCTGAACTGGGGCGCTACTACGTGACTTCTGCCTTCACTGTGGCAGTCAGCATTGCTGCCAAGAAGGAGGTTCTTCTGGACCAGCCCAGCAGGGAGGGTAGGTGCCCGGCGGGCAGCAGAGCTGGCTCTTTCCCTGAAGCTGAGCCGGTGGCGGGCCGACCAGGGGTGGGGTCCTTTGGAGAATGGGTGTTTGCTGTAGGGAAAGCTGTAGTCAGTTCCCCTCACCCCAAAGACTAATCCCTTTATTCTCGGCCTTCTCCTAATGCCGTGACCCTTTAATGTAGCTCCTCGCGTGGTGGTGACCCCAACTATAAAGTTGTTTTTGTTGCTACTTCATAGCTGTAATTTTGCTACTCTTACGAATCATCATGTAAGTATCTGATATTTGCGATGGTCTTAGGTGACCCCTGTGAAAGGGTCATTCGACCCCCAACCACGGCTTAATCCGCTGGTGTATTTGTATTTTATGCAGATGGAGCACAAAGCCAGCCTCAGGGTGGATAGGTATTTGATTGGGCTCATTCTGCAGATGGGAAATGGAGTCAAAGAGAATGGAAGCGAACTGCTTAATAGTTAGCTAGAGGGGAGCTTGCATTTGACCCCACATCAGTCTCCTTAAGAGTTCAGGCTCTTTCGCCTGTTCTTTCTTCATGACAATGTATTTGTTGACACAGAGGACAGAGCATAGGCAGGGAGAGGTCCAGCCACTCAGTTCAGGGTCACAGGGTTGGTATTCAAGTTCCAGAGCTCACTCACGCGCCCTAGCCACCTCGGCAGCGCTCTTCTTTGCTCGTCCAGACAGATGGCGATTCCCGTAGCTCTGTCAGAGCCCCATGAGTGACAGGTGTCCGTGAGTCTGGTTTGGGCTTTGCCCTCTGCTCCAGGACCCCCACGCTGGAGAGCCTCACGGTGGTGTGGTCTTGCTGGGACAGAGCTTGCTGGCTGCGTGGGGGCTGCAGGCAGCGTGTCAGCTTGTGTGCATGCGTGTGCACTCATGCATTCCCCAGGTTTCTTACCTTGACAGGCCTCCCCCTGTCATGCACCTCTGAGCAAGTGGCTTGTCTTGCTGGTGTCCTGAGTTGGGTGAGCTGCTCGCCTGCTTTAATGGGGCCTCCAGGGCCTCTAGATGCAAAAGGGAAATACGGCACCAGGACTCAGTTGCAAGGGGGGGGGGGCCTTCCCAACGCAGAAGTGAATCCATGCCACCAGAAAGATGGCTTTTAGTGGCTGTGGTTGCGGGTTCCATCCCATAACTGAAGAAAGGGCGACCCTTTGCCCCACAGCTCTATCCTTACCGGGTCCACAGTAGTGCTAGCTCCTGACTCCCAGGCCCCTCACATTCTGCTTGTGTGGCCCCTGTTCTCTCCCTCCCTTGCAGAGGAAACCAGTTCAGCTCCTAAGACCACCGTGTACCACCTTGATGAGGGCGTTTATGGGATCTTCAACTCAGTGATGTTTGACAATGCCTGCCCCACCCCCACCCCGCAGAAGGTGAGCCAACCCCCACGAATGTGCTCTCGGACTGTGCCTGTGCTCTTTCTGTTATCTAACTCTTATTTATTTAATTCAGCTTTGTGCTGCCAGGGTTCACACCTGAGGCCTCAGGCATGCGGAGTCCTGACATGACTATCACTGAACCGTGTTCTCAGGAGGGAGTGTAGCTCAGTGGTGGGAACCTGCCTAATGTGCGGGAGACCCTAGGTTCAACACACACTAAAAATGGCTTAAAAACAATAGACAAAAGATCTAGGCATGGTATGTTCTTGGAACCTCAGCCTCAGGATGCCCAGGCAGAAGTATTATGAGTTCAAGGCCAGCCTAAGCTACATAGGGAGAGCCTGTCAATAGTAATAATAATAACAACAATAATAATAGAAAAAAGCAAGGGTGAAGATTATTGCTACATAGTCTTCTGCAGAATGTTATATTTCTTTTTATTCTTTTAGAAAACACAAAGTACTTGTTTTCATAACATTGGGGTTTTGTTGTTGCTTAATCTTCCTTTTCGTTTATATGGGACGGAGCTGTTGCTGTGCCATCGACTCATCTTAAAAAATATTAAAAAAAAATTTTTTTTTTTGAGACAGGGTTTCTCTGTGTTGCCCTGGATGTCCTGGACTTACTTAGTAAACCAGGCTGGCCTCAAACTCATGGTGACCCTCCTGCTTCTGATGTCCACAGTGCTGGGATTACAAGTGTGCACCATAGTGCCCAGCTGGTGTGTGTGTGTGTGTGTGTGTGGCTTCATAGTACTTCAACCAATATAGTCCTAGCTGCCTGACTGCCTGTTTCCAGCACTGAGTGTCTTGGCAGTCATCTGTGATCCCTGCTCTGCACGTTTGCCTGTAATGGGTTTTCACATGACCAGGGGAACAAGAGCAGCAAAGCGCATGGGCGTCCAGCAGCTTTGGTGGGCATGGCTGAGTGGGAAAAGCCTGGCGCCACATCCTCAGCCGTCAGCATCTCCCCAAGGCTCTCCCTACTCCTTATGCCATGGCAGGCAGGGGCGCCCATCTCTGCCTCATTGGGGGCCTACACATTGTGTGTTGGCCTTGTGGGACTTTCCACTCACACCTGCTGGTCTGAGGAAGCTTCCCTGATGCTCAAGAGGAACTCAGTTTTTACGTTTTTGTGCAGCTACTCTTCAGATTTAGGGACCAGGCTGGCCTGGGTCAGCCTAGTAGCTTGCTACTTCCAGTTCCCATTTCCTACTTTAAACAAAACGAAACAAAACATGTTTTATTTATTCTTTGATAGTCTCCTACATGTAAATAACATGCCTTGACCATGTGTACTCCCAATCCCTTCCTCTTAACATGCCCCACATCCCAACACACGCTGCTCCACGTTCACACACACACACACACACACACACACACACACACACACACACACACGCCCTCCTGTTTATAACCCACGGCGTCCAGTGAGGTCTGCCTGCTGGAATGTTGGTTGATCTGGTGCAGGTCACCGCACCTTTAATGAGTCCATGAGCAGAAAAGCCAGTTAGGAGTCTCTGCACCGCTGCTCACTGCAGAGAGGAGCACAGGCAGCATGCTTGGGTACAGACAGCAGCTCTCAACCTGTGGGTTGAGACGCCTTTGGGGGTCAAATGGCCCTTTTCACAGGGGTCACATACCAGATATCCTGCATATCAGATATTTACATTAAGATTCATAACAGTAGCATCATTACAGTTATGAAGTAGCAACAAAATGACTTTCTGGTTGGGGGTCACCACAGCATGAGGAGCTGTATCAAAGGGTCGAAGCATTAGGAAGGTTGAGAACCACTGGTATAGACAAATATTTAGGAGGCAGTTTGGCAGCATGTCCGTTTAGAAAGACAATGGTAATTGGTTTCCCCCTGGAGTCTCTGACCCCTTAAGCCACGAGCCTTTGATCTGGTTTACAGTACCAGGCATGGCATGAGTTCCCTTCTGTGGACCAGGCCTTTTTAAGGTTTTTTGTTTTTGTTTTTGTTTTTGCAGCATGATTTTTCTCTTGTCACTGAGGCTGGCCTCTCATTTGTGGCACCACACTTAGCTTACAAGTGATTTTCACAGCTGCTTGCCCTCCTGCCCTCCTCTCTGTTCCCTTCATCATCTTCTCAGAAAAGTGAGAACAAGGCTGGAATCTTGCCATTCCGTCCGGCCAGGGTTTTTGATCCCAGGATCTTCCTGACTCTATGGTCTGTGTTCTTTCTCTGATGATGCCTCAGTTTACCCCTTCAGGCTACCAACCCTTAACTGAGGCTATCTGCATGGTCAGTGCAGTGCTGACTGGGGCTCACATAGTCTTGGGACAGAGGTTGTGCAGGAGCTAGCTGGAGGATCACCAGAGCTCAGATCATCACCCTTGCAAGACTTGTATGCTCTTTGATCTGTCTGCCTCCAGCTCCCCTCCCCCCTTCTGGGGTCTCACGTGCATCTCAGGCTAAACTTACTCAGATCTGAACTCTTCATTTCCAACCCGTAGGTCCTTCTCTTAGTGGCCACCACAGCATGCTGGGTCCTCCCCTGTCTTCACTTGTGGAATACACCTACAGTTCTTGTGTTTAGATCCCAAATCCATTTTGAGTTCATCTCGTTCTTCCCTACTGTCATCACTGCGCAGGCCACCCACTGTTTGAGCCCCTGAAGTGACCCCTAGTGCCTCTCCGTCCCCTCCTCCTGCCTGCTTACCATTCATTCACCACATTGCAGACAAGATCATTATTTCCCCACCCCCACCCCCAACCCTGAGGTTTTTTTGAGACAAGTTTTCTCTGTGTAGCCTTGGCTGTCCTGGACTCACTTTGTAGACCAGGCTGGCTTGGAACTCACAGAGATCAGCCTGCTTCTGCCTCCCTGAGTGCTGGGATGTGACACAGTGCCCAGCTCCTCTCTACTTTTTAAAAGACAGGCTCTTGCTGGGTTGCCCATGCTGGCCTCCTGCCTTGGCCTCCTGAACAACTGGGACTGCCACAGACTTGTGTCACTGCTGGAATCAAACAGATTCGTTTGATTCCACGTTGGAAACATGTGTAGGCAACTTCAAGTTGAAAGGAAGTTTTCAGAAAGGGGTGGGGGGGAAGAGCCTCTCTGCCATTACGAACTCTGCTCATCGCCCAGGCTCTCTCTTTCTGATACAGTGCATCTGTGCTGAGAGCATCACGTAGGTATCGGTGACAGTTGATAGCACGTGCTTATGGCCATGGGTTCTGTGTTGAGCATTTCTTATGTCAATTACTCTCTTAATTTCAGCAAGAATCCTGTAAGGTACACGTTACTACTGATCTCATTTTTCTAGTGAGAAAAAAATGGCCTTAGAAGGGTGAAGTATCTGTTCAGAGTCTCGGACTTAATAGGGTGGAGTGCGTACTCACTGCAAGCTGTGGGGCACTTGGAGGTGGGGGCGGGGGAGTCATGCTTTATTCATCTCTGATGATTAGCCTCATGCCGGAGGAAAAGCTCCTGTGAAATGACTGTCTTCCTTTGCGATCACTGTATCACCAGCCGCTTGAGCACTGCGGGGCTCTTGTTATTCTTGTCCTCCCTCTCAGAGTGAGCCCTGCATGACTGACTCACTTGACATGGTTAAGATGGAAGCGCTTTTAAGAATGACTTTCTAATGAATTATCCCTAAAATCTTACCAGGTTTAGGGTCATTTTTAGGCCCCCTGCTCACATAGTTCCAGATTACTTTCCTAGTATCTTACATGCAGTTACCACTTGTGCCCTTTCCACAGCAAGCACAGTGTCCTTTTCTTGTTGGCCAATTCATCCGAAATACTTTAATAAACATACTTTACTATTGTTTTCATATAAACACTGTGATTGTATTTATTGTTTTATCTCGTTTGGTGCCAATGCCTTTACAAGGATCTATTTTTATTTTATGCGTATGAGTGTTTTTCTGCACACCAGTTTATGTATCGTATGTATGCAGTGCCACCAGAGGCCAGAAGATGGCACTGCTTTCCCAGGAACTGGAGTTACAGACTTGTGCGCTGCCTTGTGGGTGGCTGGAACCGAACCTGGTTCCTCTGGAAGAGAGGCACATGTTCTCAGCCTCTGAGCCATCTCTTCAGCTCTCTCAGTGGCCTTTTGAAACAAAATGTAACCTTACCATAAGATTCTCATAAAATCCCCTCGTACTCTACTCTAATCCTCTTCCCACCCAATTGTGCTTTCTATTTATGAGGTACCGGCATATGCATTATTTTAAAGTGTTTACATGTAACAGGTGCTTCGAGGTAACAGCTCAGTTGGTAAAGTGCTTGTTATACATGCGTGAGAACCTGAGTTTAGTCCCCAACCCTCGTGCAAAAAAACCAAAACAGGTGTGGTAGTGCATGCTTCTAAGTCCCTTCACTGGGGAGGCAGCGGAAAGTGGAGCCCTGAGGATTACTAGCCGGTAAAACCTGCTCTAATCACCAAGTTCCCAGGTCCCCGTGAGAGACTGTCTCAGTCACTGCTCTGTTCCTATGGAGAGACACAGGACCAAGGCAACTCTTACAAAAGGAAACATTTAATTGAGGGCTTGCCTATGGTCTATGGTCACTATGGCAGGGAGCAGACAGGCATGGACTGGAGTGGAAGGTGAGGGCTTTACATCCTCATCATCCCCAGGAGGGAGGGAGGGAGGGACCAAGGGGGAGAGAGAGACAGACAGGTAGGCAGGAGAGGATGAGGAGAGAGGCTGAGCCTGCCATGGATATTCCCACTCCTAAGGCCACATATCCTAGTCCTTTGCAAACAGTTCTGCTAACTGGGGACCAAGCATTCCAGCATGCGAGCCTATGGGAGACCTTTTCATTCTCATTTAAACCACCACAGAGACTGTGTCTCAGAATCTAAGATAGATGGCTCCTGAGGATGACAGCAGAGGTTGGCCTCCGGCTTCCGTGTGTACACACACGTTCACCTGAACATGCAAGGGTATGCATATAGCTCAAAGCCTTCTTGTCTGGGCTTGGTGGCACACACCTATAGTCCCAGCACACAGAGAGCTGAGGAAGGATTGTGAGTTTGAGTCCAGCCTAGTCTGTATAGTAAGACTGTGTCTTAAAACAACAATCTACCTAACCCAATACCTAATAACAGTATTTAAATAAAACTGCGTGCTCATGGCAACTCAGTAATAGAGCTTAGCATGTCTGAGACATGGGTTCAAGTCCCAGAACTTCTCTCTCTCTTTATACACAGACACACAGACACACACACACACACACACACACACACACACACACACACACACGGCAGCTAATTGCTAAGTGGGGTAAACACTGCCACCTCTGGACCTGAAGGGAAGTGCGTGAGGAAGGAACTTATGAACTGAAGAATGGCTCCTCTCTGCAAAGTGACCTGAAATTTGAACATCAGTGATGTCACAGGAAGGGAGCCCACCTAGGGGCAAAGAAACGTGAAACAGAGACTATGTCAACATGGGAAAACTACACAGGGGAAGGCTTTAAAGCTTTATTTGTCTCTGTTGTCTGTCTGTCTGTATTTTGTATTATTACTATGTGGCACCAGCTGGCCTGGAGGTCACTATGTAGATGAGGCTGGCTTTGAACTTGCAGCTGTCTGTCTTCCTGCCCCTGCCTCCCGAGTGCTGGGAATGCAAGTGGGATCACTGTACCTGCCTGAGGACTGGTATTTGCCTCTGTTAAATGAAGAACTTATTTTAAAAAAAAGATTGCCTGGCAGTTCATGGAAGAGGAGAATCAGACTGAAAAATGAAAGCTGCTCACTGCAGCCGAGGGAATGCAAACGAAACAGAAGTGAGATGTCACCTTTGTCCTGCCGACAGTAGTGTGAAGGGAGGTGAGGATGTGCCATAGCGGTGTCCTAGACACAGCCGCTGGTGTGTGTGTGTCGGAAACACGTTGACATTACCAGATAATGCATGTGTCCTGGCGCCCCGGCACAGGGGTGTTTCGCAGGGCAACTCTTGGCATGTGTGCTTCAGGAGCTATCTTAGAACGTTAGCAGCTGCACAGCGTAAAACACCAGAAGCGTCCTTAATGTTTGCCAGCAGGGTATGGAGAGACTCAGTCTGTGTGTTCCGTATGGGCAGCCCCGTGCAGCGCATTTGTGAACGGTGGCCCCAGGTGTCCATGGGATGGATCCTGGGAGTGAAAATTTCAACAAGAAAGCAAGTCGTGGAGAGCCCATGCTCCACAGTTTCACACCGTCAAAAGCCTGCAGAGTGGAACATATCCTTTGACATTAGGTACATGCATAGAAGCATATTTGTTTGTTTGTTTTCGAGACAGGGTTTCTCTGTAGCCCTGGCTGTCCTGGACTCACTTTGTAGACCAGGCTGGCCTCAAACTCATAGAGATCCACCTGCCTCTGCCTCCTTGAGTGCTGGGATTACAGGTGTGTACCACCATGCCCTGCTTAGAAGCACTTTTTTTTTTTTTTAAACTGCTGAGCACAATGTTGGTCACCCCCAGACAGGAAAGAAACGGGACGTGCTTGCGGTGGACCACACGGGGAGTTTTCAAGAGACTCTTTTTCTTTTGAGTTTGTTTTAGCACCTGTTCTTTGGCAGTGTCACTGCGCAGCCAGGCTGCCAGAGTGTGACGCTCTTGCTGCAGCCCCTGGAGTTCTGAGATCATGATGTGAGCCGCCCACTTGCCTTGACACTGTCTCTCACTAGCTGGCAGGCAAGCACACAGATGTCCTTTTACACACGGTATAAGGGTAGCTTTCTAGGAGTTAACTTCCCACAATGCCATCATTTTATCGATATTATTTGATAAGCTCATAATTATTTTATATGCTTTCTAGTGGTAAGAAAAGTATCTGGGCAATTTCTATGGGTAAGTCATTGAACCTGTTTCAAATTAGGGAGGAATTTTCTTCTGCTTTATTAAACACTTTCTAGCTAGGAGAGGGTACAGCTCATGTATTTTATTTCTCCATTAGGGTCTTATTGCTTTTCTTGATTAAGTATTAGTGTGGCCCAAATAGGTCCAATAATTTTATAACCTAATGCTCCCATTACTTTTGTGAGTGGAAACTTCCTTTGTCTTTGAGCAGAGATGCTGACTTGCTAAGACTTACTGTTTTCTTCTGGTCATCTCCCCAACTCCTTGTGTGTGTGTGTGTGTGTGTGTGTGTGTGAGAGAGAGAGAGAGAGAGAGAGAGAGAGTGTGTGTGCGCGAACAAGAGGATAACTTGTAGGAACCTTACCTTCCCCACCTGGGGCCTGGAGACCGAACACAGGTTGTTAGGCTTAGTAGCACACACTTTTGCTAAAGGCCATCATGGCAGTCTCACTCATGGTTTCTCTAGCTGGGTAGGCAATGCCTCTAATGCAGCGTTTTATTTCTTTATTTTCTATACAAATCCCTCCACTCTAATAGCTGCTGCCAGCAATTTCTCATGATGTATAAAATAGTAACTATGATAGAAGGCCTTAGACTTGCAGTCAGAAAACAGGTTCAAGAGCCAGCTCTGTCACATGGCAGCAGAGAAATCCTAGGCAGGCTATTGAATGGCTCTGAGGCTGCTCTGGTTTCTGTCTTTGGAAAATGAGGAGGTCGACCTTTGACTCCTGAAGTCACTTCTGGTTCTAAGTGAGGCCCATATAGGGTTAGCTCAATAGATTCGACCTGTGGAGGGGCTTTGCTTTGTCTGTAGTTTTAATCAAGCATAGAATCTGCAATAGGTAGCTGCATGCCAGCTTGGCATGTACTGGCCATTGAGTTTGAGTTGTAGACCTGCATTGTGGTTCTTTGACTATAAGATAAATCTGAGCAGCCGAAATTTCTTGTCAGATCTCTGCCTATACTTCCACAAACAGGATTTTGATCACAATTTTTTGTTGAGGGTTGCCCTGGTAACTCATTTTGTTTTCCATTGAAAACATTTTTACATGGTATATGGAGGAATTAGTTACTTTAAGAAGTTACAGAATTGGGTAGGGGCCCCCATCAAGGCCATGTACGCCACCTTTCCCTGTGCCCCCCCCCCCAAGATATGGTCTCTCAAGAACAGCTGGCCGTGAATCCTCCCATCTCTGCCTTCCCAGCACAAGATTACAGATATGTGCTGCCATGCCCGGCTCTGCATATGTAGGTTGAAGATCTGAACCCAGGTCCTCATGTGCCGTATTCCCACCCCTTCCCTAATGTCTTATTTCTATTTTTGAGGCAGTCTTTCTGAAACAAAGTTCAAGGCCCATTTAGGCTACGGAGTGAGTTCAGAGCCAGCTTGGCTAACTGAGGGAGACATACAGAGTGAAGCAAGTTGCGGTTACAGCTCCAGGTAGAGCACGTGTGTAGTGTGTGCCAGGCCCTGGATTCCATGCCTAGTCATACACCAGTGCATGAGGGAATACACGAACGAATAGAATGAGAGACAGAGAGCAATCACAGAGATCTGTTTCCAAATAAAAATAAAACAGAAGGGCTGGTGTGCAGCTCAGCAGCTGAGTTTGTGCCTAGCATGCATGAGGCTGCGCCTTTGACCGAAGGATCACACACAGCTTTAGGGGATGCTAATTTATAATCCAAGTGGTGTCTTTTCTCCTTGTCACGGAGGGAGGCTGTTTTGTGGATGTGCTCACACAGCACCTGTCCCTCAACACTTAGACCATCAACTTAATCTAGAGGCTGGGGTTACAGGAAAGGGATCAGAGTATCCAAGGCTAAACTCTCTTATTACAGAAGCTTATAAATAAGAATATGGAGCTAGGTGGGTGGTGGTGGCACATGCCTTTAATCCCAGCACTCGAGAGCCAGAGGCAGGTGGAGCTCTGTGAGTTCGAGGCCAGCCTGGTCTACAGAGTTCCAAGCATCCAGGGCTATGCAGAGAAACCTTGTCTCAAAAAAAAAAAAAAAAAAAAAAAAAAAAAGAAAGAAAAAGAAAAAGAAAAATCTTGCCTTTGAGCAAATCCTTAGCCTTCAGAGCCTCGGTTTCCTGAAGTGGGAGTCAGTGTGTTTGACTCAGGGACAGCCTGATGGGCTGGGACCTGAGTCAGGGTGAAGCTCAGAAGCTCTCCTGTGGGCTTCCAGCTTCTGTCTCCTGGCCAAACATCCTGGAAGAGGAAGCTTCAGGGCTGGGAGAGAGGCTGGGAATGAGCTGATAGGAGGGCTTACACACAGGAGGATACAGCGAAGCTCTGAAAGAGGCCAGTGCAGCTGGAGGCACAGATCTGGCGGCAGCAGCAGTGGTACTAGTGTGAACTTGAACTCTTGCCCCTGCCAGCTGCTTCTAAATGTCTACGTGCACTGCTCCACTCGCCCTCTCTCAGCCCCACAAAGCGGGCAGTATTAATCCCTGTTTTACCAACAAGCAACCGGAGGCACAGAGAAGTTTATGCTCTTGCCCAAAGTCACCCTGTTTGTGTTGGAACCTGAATTAGAGTGTAAAAGCACACACGCAGAGAGGTCGGGCAGTCCTTAAATACCACCCATGCTGGCTGTGGGAGCGCTGGCAGGTGTTTGAGGGGAGAAGTGCTGAGGGCTGTGGTACGTCCACCGGGGCTGAAGCGTCCCCCCTCTCTCCTACAGAAACCACCCGACGATCAAGCGCTATACAGCAGTAGCCTGTGGGGCCCAGCAGTTGATGGCTCTGACTGTGTGGCTGAGGGCCTGTGGCTGCCGCAACTACACGTAGGGGATTGGCTGGTCTTTGACAACATGGGTGCCTACACCATGGACAGAAAGTCCCTCCTCGGGGGGACCCAGGCCTACAGAATCACTTATGCCATGTCCCGGCTAGCCTGGTAAGGGGGTCCTGCTGTCAAGTGGGGTGAGGGAGCCAAGTTGGGCAGAGCAGTAGGGAGACAAAGCTCAGAAGCTAAGGAGCTCCTGGCCGCCTGGGTACAGCCTGTGCTGGGCACCTGCCTATGGGCACAGGCGAGACTGAGTCCCGGAGGGGGTCACACGGTCCTACGGCTGGTGTAGTGCTGGACACCTCCAACCCTGCCAGAGGCCCAAGCCTGCTCCCTGAGGAGGTGAGAGGCAGAAGGCAAGTGACGGAAAGGAATGGGATGTATTCCTCAATGGAGGTTGCTTGTGACTGTATGGGGAAGCAGGGCCAGTCCTGAGGAGGCCTTGGAGATAGAGTGAAGAATGGAGGGTGCAAGCACAGGTTTGAAGCGTGGTCTTTTCTGGTCTGGTCGGCATTTTCTAAAGACTGTTCTCGCTGTAGGTGCAGGAAGAGAATGTGAGCAGATGCGGGTGGCACTGAGAGCGAGGTGGCAGCTCTGTGACCTAGAGAGATCTGCTGGCCAGTGAGCTCTGTCTTCCTATGTAGGAATGGGGAGTAATGTCAATCTTGCCTGCGTCCTACGAGGCGAGAGGCGTGTGAGGTTGAGATTGCCAACGCCCGAGGAACCCTCATGCCAGACCTTGTGTTGGGCATGTCACGTTCTTTCCTTTTCACCCCACAAATCTCTGTGAGGGTCAGCGTCATTTCCAGGGAGGCCACACAGCTGGTATCAGGCTATCATAGTGCTTGGAGGGCAGAGAAGCTGGGAGGGGCAGGTTTCTCAGAACCAAGTGAGGCCTGTATCCTGAGAGCCCCCAGGAGAGGGGATGACAAGGCACCAGAAAAGATACATCTCATTCATCCATTTGACATGCTTGTTGTTTCTACCCTGTATAGGGCATAGGTCAGGCCCATGTCATCATTTTTGCCATAGAAGTGTATTTTGACCAAGCTAAAAATCCTAGAACAACGTGCAGGCTTCATTGTGAGTCATCAGCAGCTACAGGTGGATGAGGCTTCGGACAGTCACCACCACCAACTGCCACAGGGAAGAGGGCGTGTCAGAAAGTCTCCCAGGTCAAAAATGCCTCTAACAGGTTTTGCTTTGAGGCTTACTCTATGCCAGGCCCTGAGGGCACAGGAGTGTGTAATGTTGTCGGGAGTCAAGGGGCAGATCTGTACCTGAAGACCCTGGCAGAGTGGGAAGGACCCTGGGGAGGGTGGGCTGTGAATACTCTCCAGGGTGTTACTGGAAATTTCTCAGGACTCAGCTAGGCCTTGGAAGTCCAGGTGCCCAAGGAAGCCAAGAGAGTGGCTGAAAAGTGAGGAGGCCTGAGAGGGCCCTGTTCTGTCACAGAATTGCCAATAGCTGTCCGTCTTCAAGTAGTGGCATATAGGGAAGACTGAGTGAAAACACTGGAAGCCTAACTGTTCTTGAAGGCAGCCGGGAGCCATTGAAAGGTTTTAGGAAACTGGGTCAACCTATGTTAACAGACAAGGAGATGAAGGCGCAGGGCCTCTCCCCCTGTCCCCCGCCTCTGCTTTGCTGTCTGTGAAGTGCCCAGGAGGGAGGTCTTGGTTCCTGTGGGGGGCTGGAATGTTCTGAACTTGTGGAAAATGAGTGGGAGGAACTGGATAGAAGAGGGAGGGTGGAGCCCAGAGGCACTTGTGCTGCCTCCCCACCGAGTGTCCTCCCTGGCCGCCTTGAGGTCCAGCCACGTCCCCTGTCCTGCGGAGGGTGAAGGGCTGCCAGGGATGCAGACATTGAGCCCCTGCTATCGAGGAGAGGTCTGTGGTTGCACTGGTGGTGCACAGGAGCTAATCTCGTGGACTCTGAGCATGGCAGGAAGGTGCTGGAAGTGCAGGAGGAGAATCTGCCTTCTGCGCTGTGTCTGTCTGTAGGGGCAGCAGGTCAGGGGAGATTCGGGATCCCAGCAAGAAACAGAGGTGAATGGGTGGGCTGCTTTAGGAGCCGGGCACGGTGGGGCAAGGCTCCTGGCTGTGGCCAGAGCAGCTGATCAGGTGTGAGACTGCTCATCCACAGGAGAGAGAGGGTTAAGACCTGGTTTGTGGCCCTGAGGTGGGGCAGGCAATGGGCTAGTTTTCAAGCCTTAAACGTGGGGTGTGATGTGAGCCGGGCTCGGTCCTAGTCTCCCCACCTGCCAGGAAGGAGTCTTGAGTGGGTGCTGCTTTCTGAGTCTGTTTCTTCTGGGAAAAGAGAGGTGGTTTGGTTTTCCTACAGTGCTTTGGTGAGAATGAACCTAGGGGTCGGGGGTGGGGGGGGGGCAAGTACAGGGCACAATGCCTGATGCACAGAAAATCTCAGTAAATGTGAGCACCTTTTGTTTATTAGGTGGTGGGGACCACAGGGGAGAAAGGGTGAGGACAAGGAGCACAGGCCTCCCTTGTCCTTGCTCTTGTCTGGGCTTAGGATTCAGGTGAGAGTCCCGTGTGTATTCAGGACGATAGGAGCAGGGGCCACAGGAAGCTCCAGGCCCCTGTTGCCCTGGCAGCTGCCATCAGCACTTGTCTCTTGCGCTCAGGGAAGCGCTTCGAGGGCAGCTGCTGCCTGCGGAAGAGGACCGGGATGCCGAGGACACGTGCAAACCCCTGTCCTGCGGCTGGGAGATCACAGACACCTTGTGTTTGGGCCCTGTCTTCACCCCAGCAAGCATCATGTGAGCGGGCCTGGATTCCCAGAGAATCCCAGCGGGACCGAGGAGATCCCTCGGGAGAGGTGGGCAAGGCGGCAAGCTGGTACCCGCTGGCCAGGACTCTGGTGCTCGCTCTGCCTCCCCCATGCTCCACCTGTAGTGTTTCTGCCCTGTAAATAGGACCAGTCTTACACTCGCTGTAGTTCAAGTATGCAACATAAATCCTGTCCCTTCCAGCTGTGTCTGCCTCTGCAGTGTGAGGGGCCTGGCCATCCAGGTGTGGGGGGTGTGCTTGGGGTCAATCTTACTCTCCTCCCCACCTTTGTAAATATGAAGCAAATAAATGTAATATATGTTTTTTAAGTATGTCAGTGGAATCATTCACAAAGCAGCCTGGGCAGGCAAGGCTGAGAGAGAGAGAGACTGTCCCACCCAACATGTAGAAACCAGTCCCTCACCTCAGCCTCAACTCTGCTCCTGAGCCCCAGCGTTGCTCACGGTCACCCACTTCTTTGACTCATCATCTTCCTCACAGGCCTGCATGCCTGGTGTCATGAGACGGGGCCAGTTGAGGTGGGAGTCAAGACCGTGATGATTCCTAAACTCATGACTTGGCTGTGTCCCCTGTGTGACCCACCGTGAAGGCTAAGGCCTGGCAGAACAAAGGAATTGTGGGAGGTTGTTTTATTGTTCTAGGGCTTGACCCCAGGGGCCTTGTGCATTCCAGGCCAGTGCTCTGCCACTGAGCTACAGTTCCGGCCCCATTGCCCTGCCGCTAGGGTGCTTTGAGTGGACTGTGCCCTCACATACAGCTTGTGCAGGCTGGCAATACAGTAAGAGTTAGCCACGTTTGGCTCACTGAGGCAGCATCTGTCAGAACAAGGCTGGCACAGAGCATTTCCATGGCCAGTACTTTGGGTCCCAGTGTCTCCTCAGACTGGCAGTTCTTACTAGGACACAGGCTCCTTCATACTGCCACTGTCTTAAGTTATGCTCCTGGGGTGTGTGCTGAGCAAAGTTGTTCAAATTTGGACTTCCCCAGCCCCTGTAGGCCCCCTGGAGACTTTTCTTCCTGAGTTGAGGGAAACTAAGTGCCATAAGATTACCTTTACTTACTGAAAAATTATTTATTGTATGCGTACAGGCACATATGTGCCGCGGTGTGTGTGTGTGTGTGTGTGTGTGTGTGTGTGTGTGTGTGTGCATAGGTTAAAGGAAAACTTCTGAGAGTTGTTTTCTTCCATTGGATGGGTTCTGAGGATTGAACTCAGGCTGTCACCTTGGCAGAGAGCTTCCTTATCTGCTAAGCCATCTCACTGGCCCAAGTTTATCCTTTAAAATGTAACAATTAACACTCCTCAGTGTATTCCTAGGATTGAGCCTCACCCTCCACTTCCCCTCTCCCAACCCCTGGCACTATTTATCTATTTTGTGCCTTGCCCATCCGGGACCTCTCAGTGTGACAATGTTCACCTTTATGAGTGTTTCTTGGGATGAGGCTGGCCACTTGGCTTCAGAGTTTGTTGGTCTGGGGATTGTACATGGCTTTTCGGTCATCTAATGAGTTGGTGTGCCACATGTTTAACCATAACCAAGGGTGTCTTCCTTTTCAAGACTGGGCTTAGTCTCCGTATGCTGACAAGAAACAGGTTGAAAGCTCAGGACATCAACTCAGAAAAATGGCAAGGAGCGATTTCCCTTGTTTCTCTGCCAGCCACCCAGAGCCATGCTTTTTACAGGGACTCCCACATGAGTCCCTTTGGTCTTGGCGGTCTGCGAGGCCATTTCTGAGATGGCCATGTCAGCTGTGGATTGGGACCCATTTGTGCTTCATTTTTGAGGGGAGCTGGGTGGTGGGGGCACACACAGGTTATTTTCTAAAGGCTGGTCTCTCTTTCCCACCCCACACTCTACCTCTCACCCAGAAGCCAGACCCTGTTGCTCTTTTGGCCTTGTTTCTCACTATGACACTGAAAGCTCTACCCTGCTACCTCTGATTCTTACACACCCTCTCCCTCCCTGGTCCCAGCCATGCCAGCCTCCTCTATTGCTAACGCTCTGCAGGCCAGTCGGTATCGACTGATCTCTCTCCCTAGAAGGAGCTGCAGCTCATTCACTTCATTCAGGTTCTTTTTGAGACAGGGTTTCTTTGTGTAACCCTGGATGTCCTGGACTCACTTTGTAGACCATGCTGGCCTCGAACTCACAGCGATACGCCTGCCTCTGCCTCCCTGAGTGCCGAGATCACAGGTGTGTGCCACTGTGCATTCATTCAGGTTTCTATAACTCCAGTTTTCTTTGGGATCGGCCTTCCCAGCTTGTCCTTCTGCTTGACTGGTTTTCCTTTACTTCGGAGTAGCTATCACTAGTCAGTACACCTGGCAGCCTGCTTGTCTGCGTGTCCTTTCTTAGCTGTCTAGAATGTGAGCTCCCTGACAGCAGGAACTTCTTTGTTCACTGTGTTCTCATCACCCAGATCTGAGCAAGTGCTCAAAAGTATATGGCAAGTGAACAGGCGGCTCCTTGCCTGTCTTGAACCTATTAATTTGATTGTAAACCACTGACCACTAAATATCGTTCTCTCAGAGGCTTATTCAGAGTAAGCAAGTGGCTAACAAGTCCAGGGCCCAATGCCTAGTATTTACATTGAAGGTGATTTCTTCAGCATTCATCCAACACTTAATGTATCCGTTGTTATAAATATTGATTAAAAAGGTCCGGTACAAAAGAGATTTATTGTGGGAAAGGGAAAGGAGAGAGAGGGAGGGAGGGAAGGGCACTCATTACACAGAGAAAGAGATAGACAAGCGGAGAAAAACTGAGGAGTAAGAGGGAGCATGGGATGGCAGGTGGGTCCTTTTTATCAGGCACACATCAGGCCTGGCAGTGGCAGGTGAGAATGTCCAAGGCTTCTAGGCAACCATGAAGCAGGCTATCGGAACTGCATCTGTGGCCTGTGGGAGGGACTGGCACAGAGGTAAGAACCCATGTGACCTTTAGTAGTGCACAGTGCAACAGGAAACGGCTTGTTCCGAGAGCCTCTCCCCTACCCAAATCCCAGGAAATCCACCTGGCCAAGCTGGCTTGCTTCCTGCAGTAAAGAGACCACGGGGGAGGCAACAGCATACAGGGATTCTCACCCCTTTGCTGCGTTCTAACCGTCCCCCCCACCCCACCCCACCCCACCCCGTCCTGGATACCGTGTAAAATCACCAGGTGATCAGAGAATTTCTCGTTCCAGTGATTTCCCAATTCTTGAAAATCCCTCCGTTGATTCCCACTGAGATGAAAGTAAGAGAGCCAGCTCTCCAGCCTCCTCTCAGGCTCCAGTTCACATGTCAGTTCCTTAGTGTCTTTAACCTTAAAGGTGGAGGTTACTTTTGAAGCCTAAGGAGAAGACGTTTGATCTCGGCTCCCAGGTAGATTGTGCAGTCACCACTGGGATGAGCTGGGAGCCCTACAAATAAACTTAGGGTTGCACCTAGGCAGAACGGAACTCAGAAACACTTAAGAGAACGCTAGCTTCCACGCGAGACATGTGGGCATATAGAAAAGCCTTAGTACGGCTTCCTAGGCGGCCTTAGGGATAGGACTGCCAGGTAAGATACAGAACAGCTAAATTTGAATGCAGATAAATAATTGTGTTTGTGCGTGCGTATCCGTGCAACATCTGGGGTTATTTCTAGGCAAAGACAATTACTTCTTTATCTGCAATTCAAGTTTAAACAGGGCATCCCGCGTTTAATTAGCTAACTCGGGCAACCCTTACCCTACCTAGCAAACCACTCCTAAGACTCTGGACCTCCTCAGGCCGAGCACCGCCCGCTTCTAGGGGTTCTCCTTCCGCTCGGAGGATCTGCGAGATGAAGTCCCTTTCTCTAGGACACTGATTTCTTTTTTCATCTAAAAATAGAAATGAGAGTGTAAGCGCTGGAAAGCACACTTAAGGACCACCTCGCGGAATCAAAAGTGCGAGGGAGTCCGACCTCGGGGAACTTCTCAACACTGCTCCCAAGCCCCGCAGAGTTCCGTTTTCTTGACGTCACTTCCGTACCCAAGAAGCTCCTCGGCTTCGAGCCGTGTGCTCTTGCGCCCTCTTTCTTCCGGGAGGAGGAATCGACGTTCCCGTTTCGGCAAAACTACAGAATCCATAGGTGGAAAGCAAGAGGCGAGGGTCCGCCCCCCAACTTCCAGTAGTGGAAACGCGACCCTTCGCCGTGGGCGGGGCTCCCACCGGAAACCTGTCAGCCCGGGACCGGAGTGGCGTGGAGTGGGGTTGACCTGGTGTCTGCCCTCTCAGAGATAGCTGGGGCCCATGCCCTGCAGTAAGGGGCTCTCTGGTCAGCTGCCATTCTTACTAAGTAGGTAGGAACCTTCCAGAGTCGAGAACCGCAGAGCAGTGCGGCTGTCTCTGCTGAGTTCGTGCAGAAAGCTGGAGTGTTTCCAGGCCATGATACTGGGCATTTAAAAATAAGAATGCCTCCTGTCAGGCCTGCCTTGCGCTGCCCTCGCCCTTAATTCGTATTATTTTATTTTACCCACACCAGCCTGCGGAATGAATTTTACGACAAAGGTTCTCGCCCTCACTGCCTGTGTTGTAATCTTAGTTCTAACATTTCTCAGCAGTGTCTCACGGCTTAAATTACTCTGCCACGATTTCTGTGTCCGTAAAATGGGATTATAGTATCTGCTTTATGTGTTGTTAAATTAACATTTAAAACGTGCAGAACAGTCCCTAGTACATAGTAACCATCGGTGACTACCTAAATTGTTTACATTTACAAATGAAACAGACGCTTACCTATGAAGTAACTTGTCTAAGAATGGACAGAAACTAGAGGAACAGGTTGGAAAGCGTCTTTGCTTAACCCTAGAGGGTTCTTAATCACTGTACTCACCCACCCTGTTTCTTCCTGCGTGTGTAGGCAGCAGTGAGGAGCATAATTGCCTTTATTAGTAGCATGCGTATTGACTCGGTAGCACCCTATCGCAGATGACTGCTCTCCAGACATTTTAACGACACCAGTGCAATTGGTGAGAGTCCTGTCTGAACCGGGGCCAGGTTTCTGTAAGAAGTGGGAAAGGGTGGCTCCAGAGTGAAACTC